ACAGCACTACACTCAAAGTTATTAGGTATCATTTCCACATACCTAATAAGTACTTAATTAGGTTTTCTAGGATTACTAGGAGCACTATAAATTTCATTTTTAATAAAAATAATCTCACTTTGTCTCCTCAGGTTTCATAATCCAGTTATTCACCCAAGAATTTTACTCAACACACAGTGAGCAAGGTGCAATAACAGGTTTCATGAAATCAAATTGCTAAGAGTGCTGTCTAAACTTGCTTACAGGATATGTTGAGAAGATAACACAATTCATTCTGTGGGGTATCAGCATCACAGTCATGAACAAGCTCTTTCCAAGTCAGGTACGCAAGATACTGACTTCAAAAATGAGGCAAAAAGAAAAATGGGTAATGCCACTATCAGTGGCACTTTCCCTCCCCCAAGTTGTCCACTATGCAGCATTTTATTTTAGGATGGCAAGGTTCAAGTTCTGATCTCTTTTTGGTCTTAATGCATTTTTAAAACACCATTTCTGGTTCTAATATAAAGGCATCTAGCATAGGAAAGGCATTCTCAGTGCGTTATGCAGAAACAATTCTGCTTTGCATGTCACTAGAACAAGAAAGAATGTTCCTGAAGATACAGGAAGAACATCTCAAAATACAGAAAGATCTCCCTCTCTTCAGTCAATAGAAAGAAATACTTCAATTGCCCATGAGCAATGTAGATCTCCCAAAGACTTCAGCAGCAGGCCTCTGACCAGCAAGGCCTGTGGCAACAAGCACACAAGCTATACGTACAACTTCATTAATCACTTTCTTCAAGTCCCTCCCCCTGCCATCCCTTAGTTTTACTATAACAAAAGCAGATCAGACCTGTCGTGGTTTCTCTTTACAGTTCTTAAATCAACGTATAAATTTGTTGCCCTGCAATGCTGAAGGTATTGAGAACAGGTCAGAGACGAATCTCCCTGTTTAAAAAAAAAAAAAAAATATCAAGAACAAAAATTATGTTTAAAAGGAAGTGAAAGTACAGTATCTATCAAGAATGCTTACTGTTACTGCAGGCTTACAATGGGTTTTCATTTCACTCAGCCTCTCTCGTATGTAACCAAAGTCAGCTTGCTTCCAGAATATCTGTTGGGCTGTCTCAATATCATTTGCCCTGATGTATGAAGGAGAGAGGAAAACCAAGGGCCATTGCTCAATTCTAGTAATAACTTTAACAGAAAACATTTTTTCCACTAAAAGTGGAACACAAAAGCCAGCCAGTTACTTTATTGACATTTAAAATGCAAAACAGGAAGCAACTTATCAGCTACATGTAAGGGAAAACATCAATGACAATTTAAAGCTATTCTCCCGTAGAAGACTATAAAAGTTTTTTTCATTTGTTTTTTAAAGCTAAGAAAAGAACTCCAGGGTTACTTTAGCAATCTGAATTCAAGGCTAAATCAAAAATAAGGAAAATATTGTTGCAGGTAGTATTTCAAACAATGTTTTCTTCCTTAAAAAGCTTAAAGTCATGTTGAAAGAGATGTATGTTATATATACATCCACACATCTGCACAAAGGTGAATAGCCATCCTTTAGACTCTAAATAGCCGTGGAGTTAATGTTACCATGCTAACACGAAAGTGAACACTATATTTATTTTTGGACATACTGTACTTTATAAATTTAAAATGAAACTTACCATCCAGTTTCAACATAATCACACACTGGGTAACTGAACCTGTAATCTGATTTGCAAGATTTCTCATAACCCCAGCAGGATTTTAGTTTCTTCAAGTATTTCTGTAAGACAAAATAATTGTATATAGCTCTTGATCATGCAACAGCAAAATAGCTTACAAACTACCTCTTGCTAACAAATCTTACATAAAAAGAATGAAAACAGACCAAGCTGTTTCAGAAAGAACACTCTGATTCTTTCTGCACAGCGGAGGATCCACAAAAGACACATATGCTCAGCAATATTATTCTGGACTTTAATGTGTCTTTCAGCACAAGCAGTTTTCCCAAACCAGTGAGTAGGATTCCAAAGTTTTCACATTGCTGACAGCTATCGATAAAGTTAAGCTCACATGAAACACAGCATTCCAAGCTCCAGGCTGAGAGTACCACTGCTCTGCCTGGCAGATCTTGAAACGTTGGTTCTGCAGTAAAAAGGCAGAAAACAGGGAGCACAGCGCACATCCCCAGCTCTACAAACCAGCTTCAGCCTGAGAGACACTATAATTGTCCCAGGACACAAATAGCCCAGATCCTCAGGTCCACCATCCCTGCAGTTCCAATTCCTAATGAAGCCAACTCACTGGGAAGGAGACCAATTCATCATCATTCCTAAACCGCTAGGACTCCCAGAATAAACCACCCCAAAATTACATTTGAACAAACAAACAAAAAAATAAGTCAGACCTACTTTGTATGGGCAATGAGAGTCCTGCTTACAGATGCCAGCAATGTGCTGATTGTTGTGCAGAAAGTATGGAATATGCTCATCTGGCAAGTTAATAGTTTTGTAGCTATATAATGGTTCTTCTGGAATGTTTTTGAATTCAGTAAGATTTTCATATTGGGAATTAGCCAGGATTTCTTGCAGTAGCAATCCAAACATAAGCAACATGAACATGGCAACCTTCAAGTACTGTAGTTATTTAAAAAAAAAAAAAAAAAAAAAAAAAAGACATTTTACACAACTGCAGCATAGCACATTTCAAGCATTTTAGGTAATATTGACCCCAAATCAGTCATATACTCAGAAAACTTTTACTTGTGTTGCTGGGGTGTTTGGTTTTATTTTTCACCCCTACGGGAAGGAAACTTTCGCTAAGAGACTAGACTGTACAACTGCAGGATTATCTTTGTATCATTAGTCATTGATGTTTATTACACACTACCAACTCACAGTCAGACTAAAACGGGTGTGTTTACTTTAGCTAAATCCCAAGGGATCCTGAGAGTTCACATGTGGAAACTAAGTATAGATTATATAACATCCAGACAGCAGGAAGAAAACGTAGAAGTATTTAGAGGGGGAGGGGAAGAAATAAAGAATTTTAGCTTATAAAGAAATATTTTATATATATACTCTGCAGTTTGAAATAAGTTAATCATCAGATGAAGGAAAGTTACGCAATCACAAATAAATGGTCAAGTTTAAATATTTCAGCATTAGTAGTCAGCATCACATTACAAAAACTCTGAATTTGTGTTACGTGCAATATATTAACTATAGGCCCATGTGTATCCATAGATACAGCCTCTAGAACAGACTGGCTACCTTGCTGGCCATATAAGCTTCTTGTCAAACATCCATGCTTTGAACCACTAAGCTTCCTGATGAAGAAAAAAAAAATGTGTCTGTGTCTAAAAATCCTTTTTGGCATCAAAACTCGCCAAAGTTTGCATGCTTGCTTGCAAGCAAAGCCTTCAGCAAAACCCTGACGATACAAGCAGTTTTACCTGTTTGGTTTGAGGAGAACCGCGTCAGATTTCCCAGGTACGCAGACCTAGCAGGGGGGTGGGAGAGGAAAGCAGAGTTAGACACATCCTGCTGAGGAAGCTCCCTCACAGCACAGGGCTGCATCTGGAGGAAAAATCAGGGCAAGGAGAGCGACATGCCAGCAGCCCAGGGGCGTTTCTTGGACCCCTGAGGCAGATAACACGGGGCTCCCACGGAGCTCCCACCACCTCCCTCCCCTCCAGCCCGCACCCAGCCCCACTCTCCATCCTCCAGCCCCCCAGAACAGCATTATCCCTCCACCTGGGCTCTGTCTGAGGAATGGGGGCTTCGAGAGCTGCCCCACACCCAGCACCAGAGCCACGGGCTTGTGCCCAGCGCGGAGCCCCCGCAGCCGACCGCCCCCTCAGCACCGCGGCAGCCGCCTCCCCTCACGGCTCCTCTCCTCATCTCACCTCACCTCACCTCACACCCGGCCGCCCCGCAAAGCCCCGCGGCCCGTGGGCCCGGCAGCCTTAATCCTCATCCCGCCGCAGCAGCTGGCGGCCGGCCGGGGGGGAGCACACGGCGCCGGCCCAGCCCTGCCCAGCCCGAGCAGGCTCGGCTTGGGGAAAAAGGCGGCCGCCGGCCCAGGGCCGCCCCCACCCTGAGGGCGGCGCCGCAGCCGCCGCTCCCCTCCTTCACACCCGCGGCCCGGCCCCTGGCAGGGGGCTGAGGGGCTGAGGGAGGGAGTGAGGGAGGAGCCGGGCCCGCTGTCAGCGCGCAGCCGTGGGGTGCCCGCACGGGAGGGCTGGAAGAAGGCGAACCTCGGCCAGGCAGCACCTGCAGGGCGGCCAGGTCAACCCCCTGCCCGGCGGCCAGGTCAACCCGCTCCCTGCCCGGGCACGGGGGTGTCGGGGCGCTGCCCCGCGGCCTCTCAAGGGAAATGGTGCCGGCGATTAAGGCTGTCGGCGCGTCTTCCTCTTGCTACCCAAAATAAAGTCCGTTCCTTGCGCTGCTTTTTAAGGATGTGGAGAAAAAAAAAAGCCCTTTCCTGCCGCGGCCGGGCAGGAAGCGCAGCCCCGCAGCACCCCATTGTCTCATTTCCCTCTGAGCTCCCGGCCCGGCCCCGTGCCCCCACACGAGGCCGAGCCCCCCCCAGGAAAGCGAGTGAAGGTTTTACTCCGCTTTCAGCCTTGAAGTAACGTGAATCCTCCCCCCCAGGCGAGGCCCTTTGTGCCTCACTGACAGGTGGGGGAAAGGAGGCGGGCGGCGAGTGCCCGGCCCCACAGGGCAGGACAAGGACTGACCGCGGGGGTCCCCCTGCCCCAACACGGGGAGCTAGAAAGCTGTTTGCACTCCAATAAAGGAAATTAGTCCCAATGCCTCATGATCTTTAATCCCATTACCGCTGGGAATTTATAAATAAGCGCGGCTCTTGTACCTAAACACGCATGACACCACAAGATTAACCGAGGGGTGCAGCTCTAGGAGTACCTGGGATGTATCTGACAGCCCTTTCTAACCTCAGTGCTTTCCTTTCACACCTATCAAGACGAAAAACCTACCAAAAAAAAATGTCAAAGAGAATCAGAGCACATTCTTAGCGTAAAATTTTATTTTACCCTGCCCCGTGCTTTTTACAGTTTATACACATTTTACAATTAGAAACCAAGGGTTCTATTTTCACCATGTGATAAACCATTCTGTTTCAAGGATCGTTGTAGCCCTTAGCAAAACATACATAAAGTGTAACAAAGTTGTAACAGGAAAAAAAAATAACAAAACTAACCCTTGCTACAATGTATGGATACACAGGATTCTTAACATTTGCTCCTTTGTTCATAAAGGATTAACACCATGCCCAGGGAAACCTGTACCAATGTAGCCTGTACCTCATCCAACCCCCCTCCCCCCACACATGAACAGATGCCTTTCCATTATCTACCAAGGATGAGAAAGTAACAGTATACTTTGAGTAAGCTTTTAAACAGTATTTCTTTGTACTGGCCTAGGCAGTGAGAATGAGGTGTAAATTAGCCATTTCCCCAAGAAGTAGATTAAAAAGTAACAAATTTAAATGGTAGTGGATGTCAGTATTCTGACCTAAATTCTTTCCTTTTGCATGTTATTTCCTTCTAGGCAATCTGTCATAGCAATGTGCCCAGATCCTAGTACACGTTAATCTTAACATTTCCTCAAAACAAGCCAGAAAGAACTATGTCAAAGATGATCAAAACAGAATACTTGGAAGTCTACATTACCTTCTAACAGCTACTTGGTTTTCTAAGGCTTTGATTAAGAGAGTAGGCCGCTCCACATGATAGTAAAGGTTGCACTGAGGGAGGATATAAGAATCCAAAAATAGTTGGTGCAGGTATTAACGTCTACTTTTGTAAAATATACAAGTCTAATATTCTGACAAAAGGCTTTATATCTAAAACAGTTAATGCTGACTGCATGTTAAAATTTCACATTTACCCAAGCTCTTCCTGAAAACCCAAGATAGTCTGAGACACACTCAAACCTGCACCTGTGCCAGCCCTTAAGGAGCATCTACTCACACATTACAAAGGAAATGTTACCTTCAAAAACACTGGCACTAATAATCAGTCCAAATGAAACGATTTTTTTTTGAAAGTGCTCCATTTGTGTACCAAGATTATTAAAAAAAAAAAAAAGTGAAAGTGATTTATTGATTCACTGCAATAGAAAACAAACAAAATTTCTAAACATTAATCTTCATGAAACAGGTTTGTTTTGTTGCATTTTGTTTTTCAAGAAATAGATGAGCTTCTAACAGGTGTACATCATAATTCTGACTTAATATGCCACAAGTCAGTAAGTTCAAACAAATGTTTTCAGTTGCTTTTTTTTTCCCTCTGAAATTTAAAGCATGCCAAGTACACTTCAATATGATGGCAAGGTTTTAAATTCTGTTTTTTAACAAAATGGTTTTACCTTGGTTTCCAAAACTGAAACTAAGACAATAAGAGTGTAGATTCTGCCCATCACCACCCAAAAAAAGAAAGCAGTCCTATATTTAGGGAAGTTAAAATTTCTGTGACAGATGGGGAGTTAAGGGAATTTTTAGTGTTTTTGCTCTATTGATTTATTGAAATCCTCAGAATGTCTGAATGTCACACTGCACTAGGTTGTTCCACAAACTTACCCTCTCTTGTGTAAATCCAGTGACTTAACTGTTCTCCTAATAAGGAATAAATCTTTCACAGGCAGATGAATTATATTACTGAGAGGCTTTTCTCCAAAAGCAGCTTCTCATCACTCACATCCTTTGTCTCTTTCTGTCCACTGAACACACAAGCAGGAACAGAGCTCTCTAACACAAGTTACAATGCAAACAGATGCAAACGAAACCCCTCGCTGTGGAGGCAACAGCATGATAGGCAAAGAATTTAAACTGCAGAGTATTTCACATGAGTGCCTATTGCAGCCACAATTCTGAGATGAAGTGAAATATTTGCTGTCTGGAATGCAGAGGAAGATGCAAGCTTCTTCCCCCGATTCTCAGCATTCCCAAGGGTCCAATTCAAAAGTTTCCTCTGACATGACCCAAAACGCAGCTAAATGTCAAGCCACGTGGATGCTATTTAACCAATACCTTACTTAAAGAATGGCATGAGAAATGCTTTGCAGCCACTGGAGACTTGCTTGAAAACTATATTAAGCCACAGAACAGTTTTGCCAAAGTCTAAACCTTGTTATTTATATACCGGGAACGATTATGAGAGCAGCAATTATTTCATTAAAATATTTTTCAGCATTCTTCTGAACCGTTTTAGCTACTGCTAGAAGTCAGCATCCAACCCTAGAGCAAATATTGAATACTTGTATTTTTGATGTTAAAATTTAACCACATTTAGAATTACAAGCAGAGCAGCTGTCTAGACAGCTCATGAGATACAACACAAACAATAGACAGATGAAACTTTATAAATTACAACTTCATCTTAAGTGTTACACTCTGCTTTAGAGGACTTTGAAAAAAATTGAATTTAGATGACTATTTTATACTATAGAACTATTGTCCTATCATGTTCAGACACTGCAAGTACAAATATAAGATTTTCCTTCCATAAAAATATCCATCAATTATGTTTCAGACAGCAAGCCACTACTATTTTGTTATTAAAAGTTAGCCAGCGAGATTTTAGAAAAACTTGTATTACGAACATGTTTAGAAAGACTTCTAATATTTTTCACGGGTATGCAAAGTTTACAAATGAAGGGCTGCTTTAGTGAAACTCATACCTTCCAGTGCTGTCTCAGGAGGTCACGGTCATCTCTCTCACTACTGTTTACAAGTAAAATGGTCCATCGTTTAGTAAAAACTTAAATACAGAGATGACTTAAAAAAATTTAAATATTGCACAAATAATTTAACTGCAGACAGTACAAGACACTTAAAGCATTGATTTTTTTAACATATGAACTTATTATATAGACATTTTCTATCATACAGTTGTTTTTTTTTTTACAAGACATTTAAATTCAGCATTTACATAAACAATTATCTATACAATCTGTTACAATAGTAAGAGTTCCAGCAGGAGTTAATTTTGTCTTTGCTTTAAAAGTTCATCTATCTGAGTCTTGTACATGTTTTTCACATCCTCCAGATCTAATCGTAGTTCTTCAGCTTCCTCTGCTTTCTCTCCATACATCTGAAGAATTGTATTGTATCTTTGATCCAAGTCCTGCAATGATGGAGTTTGTTATTTGACCATCTTTTTAGTGTTAGTTTATCAAAGTGTAAGTATTTTACAATGACACTGATAATGACAGTGAACTCTTCAAAAAGACTCTGACTGTCTGAATATGGCTAGATTTATTCCCTAGACATAAGAGGAAGAGACTCCAAAGTCAAAAATTCTTGACAACGAAGAATTAATGCTGGCTACAGTGGAACTATGAAAGCACTTTGAAGTTCAGTTGCCACACACATTAAAAATAGCAAATTACACCTAAGTTTTACTACAGGAAGTAACAGAGTCTGTGAACCGTTTCATGGGAAAATTTAAATTGTGTATTTATAGAACAATAATCATGTCAAAAGTTATTCCAAAACTATTTCCCAACTTTAAGTTCTGATATGGTTAGAGGATTAAAATATTTGTCCCATTAACTATATCACTGCCAAGCACGCACTCAGCCTTTAACTCTCACAAATCCAGGCTGTTTATCAGAACACTCCCTTCACTTAAAGACTAGACTTCAAGACAAGTGTCTTATGTGAAGAAAAAAAATAACTCTCTTCCCAATTTAGCATTCAATTTTATGCACAGCAGACATTTTTACAGCTACATTTTGAAGTGACTACCAGTCATGGAGTAGGGATAACCAGATTACAATAAATAAACAGCAGGTAATTTATGATTAGGAAGACCTTTAAGTATAACCATAAATGGATAGTGGTATTTTTTTTAAAAAAAAAAAACACAATAACATATCAGATTGCCAACACAAGTGCACTTACCTTTAACTGTGCACGCAATTTTGGTATTTCTCTCACTTTTTCTTCAAGTTCATCATTTTGATTTGTTAATTTAACCAATTCTTCTGCCATTATTGATCGAGTTTTTTCAAGGTTCCCTATTTCCAGCTAAGGTAAATATGTTTCACAATTAGGAAAAAGAAAATATACCTTTTTTATTAAAAAAAAGTATTTTGAAATGGCAATTAAAGCTTTTTATTGTAAGCCAGAATAAAACAGTAATTAAAGCTTTTTCTATGAGCCAGAAAGCGCATCCCCTGGAAACACTCTCCCTTTCTTCTCATTCAGATCTGATGAGTGTTGTTCCCCACCCCACCACCCTTCTTCTTCCTCCAGACAGGCAAGTTATTTTTTTTTGATAGGTCCTTCCCAAAACAAGAGAGGAAGCAATAAATGTTTCTCTTGCTCATCCCTACACACACTGGCTATCCTGGTTAACAGAACTGTCAGTCTGCTCTGAGTGGGACCAAGCGTTTTGAATACAATATCAATGAAACAAAACTGACTGAATTAATATTTAACCTTAGAAGCACTGCATTTCATTATACAGTAGAGTAACTACAGTACCTGTAGATGTGAAATCTCTCCTTCTCTTAGTTTTAGCTGTGATTGAAGGTTTTCAATTATACTTGAACCTGCTCCCATCCTTATAGCGTCATAAAGATTACTCCCACTAGCAGCTACTGGCCCAAATGAGTGATCGTGAGAATCATCCTACAAACAAAAGGTTAGAGAACCTTAAAACCCAACAAAACAAGTACACACTTTGAATAAACACGTCTAAATAGTGGGCTTGTGCACTAAGCCAATATTGCTAGTAAAAAGAAGTCCGTTTGACTTCTAACAGTGTTATTCAAATTTTCTAGTTGAAATTAATGATGTGAACTCAGCACCAATGCATACAACCATATGCATTGGTCCGCAATAAAAAACATCATTTTATGCTTTTACAGATGCTTTATTTTTTGAATAAAAAATAAATAGTTTTTGCCTCACCTAAACCAGTATACTCCTGAAGAGTCATTTTCAACATTAATAAGTTTACTGAAAAAAAAAAAAAAAAAAAACTATCAAAAAGCCAATATTATTGATATATACCTGTGAGAGGAAAGATGTCTGAAGACCTGCCATGTCAACTCCACTTATGGAACTAGAACGTGAAATACTCGGAGTGCTTGAAACTGTTTCAGCTGTAAATGACTTCCGATCCTTAAATAAAACAATAAATATATTTTTAAGAAAGCACGCAAGAAAAACCCCACATCACCACCAGTTAGTTACAGAAAAGAGTTGGCAAGACAGTGAAAGTTTATGGAAAAAAAAAAAAAAAAAAAAAAAAAAGACTGCCCTTTCCTCTCCCCTCCTATAAAAAACATACGTTAAGTTCAACAATGAAGAATTACTGTGCTACTAATGCTTCTAGTCTGTGCTTAACTCTTTAGACTTTTCAGGAAACAAAGACATAGAAGTTGCAAACTACAGCAAAATAACTTCTCTTTTAGTAGCCAAGGGAGATGCAGAGGCAGTTCTGTACGTCCTAAAGCATCACAGGAAGGATGACATAACCAGAAGTAGGTCTCTTTTTGGAAGGTATGTTAACTTCATTTTTGTTTGTTTGTTGTTGTTTTAAAGTTTACAAACTCAACGCTGAGATTTCTCATGACTGACATACCTTCCAGAGACTGACCTCTTTTAAAGGCAGCATCTGAACGAATACTAGCCTCTGAAGGATAAAGCAGTTAGATTTTATAACTAGAAGCAGTAAGTAACCAAAATAGAAACAGTTTTACTCGAACATCAACTGCTAATCAGCAGGAACAAAGTTACTGACTCTGGAGGACCATTTTGTGACTTGTGACTTAAGCTGGAAGGCATGCAGCACATTGCACACAACCATGTGAAACCCAGAACAGGAATTCAGGAGAAGCAATGCTTGCAGTGTAAGCAAAGAAAACAAGGAGCTTCAGAAGATGAATCCCAGAGCATTCATAAATCAAAAGGTTAAAACAATCAGTATCTGTATTTTATCTTTTCTCAGGATAAATAGAGTATTACGTAAAGACTTACTTCAGCGTGTTTCACAAAAGCACTTATTTCAGTGGAAATAAAAGGCAGGCACAATAATAAAAAAGAGAAGTTCCCAATGCCTAGGTTCTCAGTATATACTGCACTGCTTTAAGCCCATTTTTTTGCTTGCCACAGTTTCAGATTCTAGAAAACCAGCAGAATAGGGATAGTCTCAATAAAATTGAACACAAATATCAGGTTTTGGTACCTTCTCCTTTGCTGCTTCTTGCACAAGAATGGCCTTCTTTCTTTCCTGTTCAACCTTCATTTTCTCCATTTCTAACTGAGTAGTTAGCAGCGTCTACAAAAAATCAATACAGGCTGTTAACCCCCTACCAGCAGAGGTGTCATCAACAGTTTAGAGAGGAAATAGACAATACCTTTTCTTTCTTTGCATCTTCCAAGGTTTTTGCATATTCATCTTTGAGTCCTTCTAGTTCAACCTCATACCTACAATGAAGAGGTACAGGAAGTAAGCGCAGAGCTGTGTGGCGTTTAGCTGTCTACCAGAGTTAAACCACAGCAAATTTTAATACACACACAGCTTCAAGATTTTAAAGCACTGTTAAAGTAACAGGCTTCAGACAATCGTTAGTATGAAACGAAAGATCCTTAACAAGTTTGGAAGCTTTCTTAGGAGTTGTCATCTTTTTTTTTTTTTTTTTTTACAGTAGCAACAACACCCAAAGAGATCTTCCAGCTTACAAAGATTTTCAGCAGATGGTTATATAATAGATAGCTTACTTCATTTCACTCACCTACTGTTTTCATCTTCCATTTTCTTCAATTTGTTTCTCTCCACTTCCAGCTGAGCCTGAAGGCGAGTATTTTCTTGCCTTAAAAGACTATTCTGAGACTCAGTAGAAGACATCTGAATTTTATTAGACAGAAGCTCTTCTGTAGCAGCCCGTTCTCTCTCAGCAGCTGCTGCTAGAAGAGTTTGAGACTCACCTAATAATAAATAAAAAGACAGGGAATTTACCTTTTAGGCTCACACAGCTATAATGTGGTCCAATTATTTATGCATCAAAATGGATTTTTTGTCAGTATTTTAGAGGCAACTTTTTTTTTTTTTAATGCTGGTGTACTTTTAGTGTCTCAATGTCCATGCTTCTTTTAGACGTCCTAAGTACATGCATACCATAACACCTCTTACAATCTTGTTACGCTATATTAAAGGGAAACAGACAATTACTTGTCCAAGAACCCTGGCAAAATACCTCACATATCATTTCCTTACAGGAAAACATTTTGTGCTTATCCCTCTCAACCCACTCATATACTCCTTGGGCCAACATCAAGTCCTTTCAATTTACCTTCAGCTACCTCACATCTTCATTAAGAGTCTCACAGCTCAGTATAAGCTAAAAACATCTTACCAAGTCTGTCAGAAAGGTTCTTTTCCAATTTTTCCCATGAAGAAGTTTGTGCTCCCAGTGTGGCTTGCAAATTTTCTATCTGCCGGAGAAGTGGTCGCGTAGCAGATGTAACACTTTGACTTAGTTCTTGGTTCCGGCTTTCTGCTTCCTGGAGTCTCTGAAATCAGAAATTAAACATATTAAAGCTTTAAAACAATGTAATGGACTAAAATGCTATCACACTAAATCAGCTTACTACATAGGCTATTTATTAATGACATGTTAGCTTTTTGTTTTCAGTTTTTAGAAGTTCTTCTTGCAGATACAAGTTGGCATTGTCTTATTTGCTACAGTACCTGTTGTAGTTCACTGATTTCCTGGCGTAAATAATCTTCTTTTCTCGCTGCCTGCTGTTCTGCACGTTGCAGCGCTAGCCTCAGGTCTGACACCTAAACAAGCAAGGCATTATCACTAACCTCTTGCCAAACATCACAGTGCCATCTACCCATTGCTCTCCCATTTAAAACAACATCAGATGGGGTACAAGTCAAAGGCTTGAGTTTTGCAAGCACACAAATAGTTATGTAATGTATGTATCACTAAATATTTTGTCCAATTATATTTTTAAGCTTTGCATTATGATTCAACCACTACAGACTTAAATATGCAAATTGTCAAAGTAACTTTATTTAGACAAGTAAAATTAGAAGTCTTTTCTTAAAGAAAATAGAATTCTAAAGTTTAGCACAACTACCACTAGAGGCTGAACTCAAGTTTACAGCAAAGAAATCCACTAAGTATTGCTTAGTAGACAGAAATGAGTTCCACCTAATATCGTGTCTGGTTCATTATGGCAAATGCACACCCCACCCAAGTACATCTCTTCATTCAGTAAGTTCTATTCATCACATTTAAGACTCACCTGAATTGCCAAAGCTTCTTGTTGCTGTCGTGCCTCATCCTGGGCCTTCTCCAGAGCTAACCCAAGCTCTTCCTTTGCCTTCATTTCCCGACTTAGGGCTGCTTCTTGTGCCTCACTGTCCTTTGTAGCATTAGCTTTATGAAGATCAGCAAGTTCCCTGGGGGAGAAGAAAAACCATGCATTTTGCAGTTCATACAATGCCGACTGTGACTTCAAAAATAACTTCATTATGTATCATTGTAGCATCTTGATTCATCACACAAAAAATAGACATGGAAACTGATTGTACGGTTCAAGACAGGCACCCAAATATCTGCTTACTTGTACGCACTGTCGAGTGCTGCCTGCACGCTTCTGTTCCGTTCTTCAAGGTCTTCCACTTCTGCCTGAAGCTTAGCAAGATCCTTTTCTTGTCTCTCAACAACACTGTTCAGTTGTTTAATATTATCTCGATGCTGCTTCTCAAGGTCTTCCTTGCCATCAAGTACCTATTGGAGTGCAAACAAGCGTTAGATTAATCCCAGCACATGGGGTGGATCACACCACCTGAGCAATGACAACGACAAGTGCGGTGACGGATCCAGAATTAAGTTACACAAAGCGACTGGAGTGATCTAACATGTTGCAAAAGAGAACAGCAATCTCTCCAGAGGAGGGAGCACTTCTTCACCACACAATTTCACATATTTCCTCATGCTAGATCTTCTGCTTGCATGTCCTTGATTAAACTCACAAAGCAATCAAGAAAACTGCCCAAATTTGGCCAGTACAGTTTTTTCAACTCAAATTTCATCAGCCCATTATCCGATAACCAACAACACAAGTGCAAAAAAGCTGCTGGAATGAGATACAACTGCAATTTAAAACTACTGAAATCACATCTTAGTGTTCCAGTAATATCAGTTAGAATAGTCTCCCATGAAAGATAAAAAAAAGGCTACCTAGAGCTTCCCCACAAAGCTACTCTGCAGCTAATCTAAAAAGCTTTTTTTTTTTTTTTTTTTAATCTCACCTGTTTTAAATGTTGCAACTCTTCTTCCAGTTCCTTGATCTTTTTGTTCTGCTTTGTGTTAATATTTTCTCTTTCTTTCTCCTTTGCTCTTAATTTCTTAATCACGTTGGAATTCTGTAGCTGCTGTTTGGAAAGCTTTTCTCCTGTAAAGAAAACATACATGAAGTTAGCACATATTGCCAGTTATTCTATGAACAGTCTCCATTCACACCTTTCTCTGCCCTCCAGCCCTGTGTAATAGCCAAACATATAATGAAACATTTACTTGTATTTTCATGCAAATTCTTAAGTTTCCAGTCCACCTCAAAATGACCTCACTACACCAAGCTATATTCAGATAGGATAGTCACTGAAAAGGCTTTGAAAGTAAGCAAAATCATCTTACCAGGAAATAAACATAATGGCCACTTAGTTTAATAACTATAATTTACTTCTAAAGTTAAGAAGTAGTAGGGGAGATACCGTAGAAATGGCTTGAATGGCTCTGGTCAGATCTTTGCCAAATGGAGCACAGAACACTGTACTGCACAGTGGTCTTATCTCACGGTACCTTTTAATGCATGCCACAAAAACTATCCTTCCAGCCATCTGCATTTGACTGATGGACTCTGCTGCTCTGTGCCATTAACTAAATAGTTTAAACGTATAGACACATCTAACATGCTTCAAATAACCTGTCTTCCCCACATAAGGGAGGCTTTTATGTGAAAACAGTATATTTCAAATTATTCTACAAAGTTTTGCTTAAAAAATTAAAATCTTACCTTCCTCCATCAATCCTTTGATTTGCTCTTCTTTTTCTTTCAGTAATTCAGCAGTTTCATTAGTATTAAGTCTAGTAGCCAATTCTTCTTTAACAGTCTTTACTTCCTAAAGAATAGATCAAAATACTTAGGACCATTCATTAAAATATATTTATGGCTAGAGGCACAATTGTACTTGCCACCTTCTTTTCCCCTCCCTCTCAAAAGGCTGTTCTTCAAAAACAATTTAGGCTGGAAAGGGACCTCTGCAAGTTATCTGATCCAACCTTATTTTTAAAGTAAAGCTTTAAAACTTCCAAGTCAAATCAGATTGCTCAGAGCCTTATTCCATCAAGTTTTAAAATCCTCCAAGGATTAGTTTCATTAAAAAGCTGGTTACCTTTTTAGCTGCATCTCTTTCCTTGCACGCAAGCTGGAGCTTCTTTTCAGCATCCGCTATTCGCTGAGCAAACTCCTCTTTAAGAGACGAAATGCTACTGGTCTCTTCTTTCATTCTGAACACTTCACTACATTTAAAATTAACATTTCAGAACAGTTCCATGGCTATGTGACATCCCAAACGGTTTGCAACAGGCTGTCTTAAATGCTTTTAAAACATGTTTATAATTTTTACACATTTTACCAACAGCTCAAAAACCACATCCATATTAGAAGTACTAAAGATCTCTATTAATTCAGCAATTTAACAGTGAAAACGGCAAAACTCTGGATTTACCTTAAATGTTTTGCTCCTTAATCAAGTTCTTTCAGAATAACCTCTTAGTTTCTACCACGTACAGGGCAAATGATTAAACTTTTTTTAAAGTTAAGATCAATTTAACAATTAAATAACATCTTCACATATTATCCATAAATTTCTACACCTCACACCTCAGTAAATTGGCAAATTCAACTTTTCATTTTTCATTCCAACTTAATTAAACAATTAATTCTGTTTTTTCCTACAACCAGTCTTCCTACCATGTTTTCACTGCCTCCGTTTTAGTCAGCAAATTACTTTGTAAATCAAGTTAGTCTATCTATAGCAGTCAGTCTCCCTTAATATCAAAACCCAGTCTCATAATAAAGATCTTTATTAATATTGAAACCTGCCTCTGCGCACCTGTTTCCCACCAGTCTTCCCAACAGAGGTTTTGGCCCCAATAAATAAAACAGATTGCATGTGCTGTAATGGTATTTTTATTTCCACATTTCCTAAACAGGGCATATCCTTTGCAACCTTCGGTCTAGTTATAGAAGAAACCTGTTTTATCATTTGACCACAAATGACAGTATTTGCATTGTAATATTGTTTGTGTTACAGTAAAGTTAGTTACAGCAATGACTGTGTCTATTTTCATACTTACTCTTTTAGGTTATCATAAGCTTCTTCCAGGCGCGCCTTTTCTTTACTTGTACTTAATAACTGTGTTTCTCTCTTCTCCAGCTTCTCTGTTAATGAATCAATCATCTGGAAAAAAATTATCACGAACATCAGATGAATGGGACAATTAAAACACGAGAGGGGGAGGCTTCCCCTTTCTCCCCCCCCCTCCAACATTAAAGTTTTAGTTCAAATTCCTAAAAGAATTAAGAAGCTTAAGATAGTGAAGATGACCATTTTTCTGCTACATTAATGTAAAACTAGGCAATAGCTAAACACAAGATACCGGTTTACTAGAGTTGTAACAAAAAATCCTTTTAAGTATACCTGGCTCAGCTAACCTCCCCAACAATATTAAGTTATATTCAATTACAAAGTTTTTAAACAGAGCTAGCATTAACCATTGAGACTCCTGCTGTGCTCCTCATACCACTCTCTACAGAATCACCCGATAATTTACATTTGAAAAGGTCTCTTCTGCAAACTGATAGCATTGGATGAGGAAAGTAAACTTCCAGGCAGAGTCAGGAGATCTTAATACATCATCAAAATTATATAATATCAGATTTTAGAAAGCTAAGCATAGAGAAGTAACACAGACATATATAACAACATAAAGTAATTAAACAGATTTTGTAAATGTCACTCAGCACGGCAGTGAAAGACAAAATCTGCTATGGTTCATTAACATTTCCCTTAAACTATTCAGTAAGATCAGAAAACTCTGGTACAGCATTCCGTGGACTTTCCTAAGGAATTAGTGATATTCTCTACAATTTACACCAAAAATTGCTTTCCTTAAAATACAGATTAGTTTGGGGCTTTACAAACTCCCATAAGCAATTGCTTTTCCCTTATTACTGTTAGAAATGCTATTGGTACTGCAAACACACCTACAGAGCATGGCCAAGAGTAGGGCCCACCTATGTCAGATAGTATGCAAAAACACTATGTCTGAAACAAAATGCAGAGAAATAAAAAAAATTAAAAAAATAATAAAAAAAAAGAGTAAAACATGTCAAAACAGCTCAGAATTTAAAAACAAGAACAGAGGGACAGGAAGGTGACAGAGGAAATGGAAAAACATAGTGCACACAAAGCTCCAGTTTAGCCTTCCACACTCTGAAGTATCCTACTTGTTCCTCCACATCTCTAGTTAACCCATCTATTTAAGCTAGCCATCCAGATTTCTTCATATCTATTAATTATCCATAATGATACCTATCTTCTTCATTAAAATACCTCATGTACCTTTCTTTTTAAAAGAGTTTGTACCACACAAAATAACACATCTGACTTATCAAGGCTTCCTGCTTGCTAGCAGTAGTCACAACTCACAATACTGACAACTGAACTTAAGTGAAACCCAAAATGATCTGCCCAAAAACTGCACCAGTATTCTTCCACTGCAGAATAATAAAGAATTTTCTACAAGTTAATTCAGCATTAATCAATTCACTAAGGTGAACCTAACACCTCTATAATGAGGTGATGGGAGTCCCATCCATATTTAAAGGGTGTGCTTGCCGTTACCTTTTTAAGCTCTTGCTTTTCAGAGTCCTCTTCCAGCAACTTTTCACCAACATCCTGCTGTGGCTCAGTCTCCTCTTTCACAACCTGTTCTTCATCAGTTTGCACGGTAGTAACCAAAACATCTGGCTGCTCGGAATTAACAGGGGTCGCACTTCTGCCACTCTCTTCCATCTCAGCTTCCTCAGCATGTAACACGGGACTGTCATTTAGATCTTCAGATTTACTTTTCAGGGCATCAACCGTTTCTGTCTTCGGTGCAGAAGGACTGACAGTGACAGATGCTGAAGTACAAGCCCTGCCTGATAATTCGTCGTCTGAATTGATCTCACTGACACTCCTACTATCTAATGACTGTACACTAAACGAATCTATTCTTTCAAAAGCATCCGAGGAGCAGCAGCTCTCGGTCATTTTTTGAAAGTCATCTAAACGATTATAATCCGCGCAGGCAGACGTAGATAAAAGCTGAAATGATGTCTGCATTAGGTGGAGACTGGATTTTGAATCTGCAGCTTCTTGTCTCGAACTTACTGAGCTCTCACTTATTACACTTTCGTGGTCCAAAACCTCAATATCACTCGTTGTGGATGTCCCCGAAGAGAATGTGCTAATTGGAGGTGACGGCGTATTGCTTTGCCTGTCCTCAGTTTTTTGCTCCTTAGGTTCCAAACCCACGTCTTTTGTACCTGCATTAAGAGACTGTGAAGTGCTACCCGTTCCACCTCCCGTTCCATCCTCCCCTGCGCTGGATTTTTCACTGAGCGCATCTTCAGGTTCTTTCAGATTTAGAGCAGACACCTTTTTGTCAGGAACCTCATCCGTGCTTTCTTCATGCTTGGCACTGAGCACAGAATTCTCTTCTGGTTCCTCCTTGGGAATATCAAGGTTTTTCAAGTCCACTAGGCCAGCTGCAGAGGAATCCTTCACTTCTGCCTCTGTCGTCACAGGTACTTCCAGCTGACTGGGGTGCTGAGCCTCCTGTAAAGTGCTTTTCACCTCCTCTTTGGGTCGCTGTGATTTGGCTGGAGGTTTGGACACCACTGGATTTTTCTGTATATTCTGAACGTCTGTTGGAGAGAGAAAGGCACTGAAGAAGTTTTCAGATTCATCTACTACCGTTCTCCTCACTGGTTTGGTGATTGCTGTTGGCGATATTGGCTGATTCTGTGGTTCTGCATTTGAACTTAGACCCCAGGAAGATGTATCCCATCCTCCACTTATGAGAGAATTTGTTCCTAAAACAATAAAAAAGACATGCCAAGAAAACAATTATTTTCCAGTAACTGTCTTTTTACGTGCAACATTTCAGAAAAAAAAGGCTTCTGTATTGTATAAAGCAAATATTAACACAAGTGCAAACAGCAACATTTTGTTTCTACTTCCTGACAAAGCTTAGGACTGATCTTTAAACAAAACAAAAGAAAGTTAAGGGATAAATGAAGTAATTCAAGGACTTAAGGACACGTTAAACAGTAACTTGAGGAAAGGCATAAAAGAAGCCATACAAAAATTATACCAGTAACTCCAAGACAGAGAATTTCAGAAAGAAAATGGAGAAAAGTGCCTTGGAAGGGGAAAAGAGCCCATGCAGCATTCCATGGCCTTGCATAAGGGCACATCTGAAGCCTTTTCAGACACAGAAAGCAAGTGTTGCCTTTGCACAGGGAACAAGAGAGAAGGAATGCAGCATCCTGCTTCCTGTACTGATAGTAGGCTAGGCAAAACAAACAGCAGAGCTGTAGTTCAGAAGTTACAGATTAGAAAACAAGGAACTACTACTAGGTCTTAACATTTATCAGCCAATAGCACAGACAAACGCTTCATAAGTCATTATAGGAAACGGGAAAAAGGCTTGTGTTGTGTATTTTCATGTTATCTACAAAAAGTATTTGTAGGATTTACACTAGAAGAGTTCTTGCCCTTTCAGTTTGTGACAGACCTCATATTTTCCTCACACACTAAGTGACAGCACGAAGCTGACAACACACAGCAGAACTAAGATGACCGTCTCCTTCTCCTGTGGAAAAACACTGAATTGAGGAGTTCTGAAGTTGGCCTAAATGAAAGTTATCAGCCAGTTACTTCTAATTATTTATTTCAGACAAAACAAAAGTAGCCTGATTTTGGCTGTTTTCCTTATGAATTACAGCAGTACTACGGATAAGAAGATATAAATGAAATTAAAAAGATAGTTTGGACAAGTTTCAAGAGATTAAGTGCTACACAAGATGCTATAAACAATTACTGCATTAGACACTGCCAGTATGTGACTGACAAGCCCCTCCTCCCCCAACAGTCTGAAGATATGCAAAATTGGGCTTAGTTGAGCAACCTAGAAAACAGTTTCAATTGCTTTAGCTTTCAATTTTCAGAAACCTCACTCTGCTGTGGGTATACCTGGAAACAGCTTCATACCACAAACAGTTCTAGAGATAGTTGCAGTAAGGACACTGGTTCCAGAAAAGTTAGTTTCCCAACTTTTACTTTATTTGTTCTTAATGTACTATTTACAGAAACCAGATTTTAGCATGAGGTTGCCTTCCTGTTTGTCCATCTCAAAGCACCAATTTCAGATTGACCGTCCCTTCAGCCTCTGTGCTAGCACCCCACAGGTAGCAGGGAGCTGGTTCCTCATCTCCACGCCGTGCCCGTTCTTCCAGCAGTGTGCTCCTTTCAGCAGACGCTGCAGGATCACATCATCACTGCCACAAGAAGTGGAAACTTCACTTGGTGCCACCAGCTTTGGGCTTCTGCCCTGCTCCTCCTGTCACAACGCACCTACGTGTGCCTCAAGAAGAACACTATTCCTACCTTTTTATTCACGGAACTGTTTTTATCACCCATTTTCCTCACATACCTCATTTTCCTGATATCTTATCACCTGAATTCCTCAGTAAACGGGGAAAAAAAAAGCTTTAAAAAGGGGCAGGGGCTGAGGACTCGGCCAGGCCGGCCGCTTACCCTCGCTGTAGTCGGGGATGACGGCGTCGGGCCAGGGGCTCTCCTCGGCCTGGATGTCCAGCACCCGGTCGATGGACTTCTGGGCCTGAGACAGCGCCTGCTTGGCGAAGCTGGACAGCTGCGAGGCGTTGAACCAGCTCATCCTCCGGCCGGAGCAGCGGCCCCGGGCCCTCGGAGCCCCGCTCCCGGGCAGCGGCGGGGCCGGCGGCCTCAGCCTCGGCCTCGGCCTGCGCTGGGCTGGGCTGGGCTCGGCGCCTGCGCGCCCGCCCGCTCCACGTCGCCAAGGGCCCGGCGCGCAGCCGCCCATGGCGGGCGGGAGGAGCTGCCTGCCCCCGCCTCCGTCCCGTCATGGCGGGCGGGTTGCTCCCGCCTCGTTTCCCTGCTGGCACTGACAGGAATTAAACGCCGCTTCGACCCAAAAAAACAGGCGCTGGTTTAAACCTCGCCCTTTAAACTCGCTGCTCACGCAGCCCCCGCTGCGCCTCGTAGCGCTTCGGAATAGCGTAGGGTTGGTAAATGTTATCCTGTTAAAAATTAGCGTGAAATGATTCACTACTGATTACACACACACAGCTGCGAGCTGGAGAGGTTAAACACAGTTCACGTGCCCCAAATAAAGTGAGAAAATTTCTGTTGAGGAAGCTGGCACCTCATAGAAAGATCTGACTAAAGCAGCCACAAGATGCAGGAGGTTATTCAGCAAAGCCTACAACCACTCTTCAATGCCCACTGATAAACCACAAACTAAGGAGTCTTTTTTTATTATTATTTTATTAATAAATACCTTAACAGCACCAATGATACTTGAACATAAGTCTGCAACACTGTATGCAGCAGCTGTTTTGTGACTGCAAATGCTCATATCGTATTTTCCTGTACAGTTGTTCGTTTCATCCTTCTGAGTTTCCTTGCAAACAAAGTGAGCTCTTCCATACTTAATAACTTACATACAATTGATCAGATCAATATCAAATAAGAGGAAACTGCCCATGTTAATCTATTGCTCTTTCTTGCTTTTAAGGTGACTCGGCAAGCATACAGGAGTGCTATGATTTAAATCCAGATTGCTATGGTTCCTTTCAGAAGGTCTCATTGCATGTCTGTATACGCATACACATCCAAATTTAAAATGACAAGACTTTTGGCCACCCTAAAACTTCCATGTGTCTGATAGTATTATTAACATTTTGACAACAAAAACTGAAAAAAAGTGTATTCCTATACATCAGTGTTCTGTACACCAGTACGTATTTGTACAATATAATCCACCAAATATTGGCTTCTACATACAATTCCAAAATACGGTGATTCATTCGCATTACCTAACCTTCCATGATGCTAGTACTAACTTGAACATTTCTGGTTAATTTAACATCCACAGAGTACATTTGTTTTACAAAGTGGGTACAGATTTTTCTTGCTGTATAAGCATTGTACTTATTTGTAAATTAAGTGATAAAGTGGAGTTTGAACAATATAGTCTGTGGTGTAGTCACATCAGCAACTGCAAGTTCCTGGCCATCCACAAGCCCCAATTCTGAAAGAAGAAAGAAAAGTTTACATCCAGCAAATCCACATGTTTAGAAAAAAAAAAAGTTATGAACGCCATTTACACAAACTATAAATATGATGAAATAAAGCTGCAAACAGCGCACTAGCTAAACTAACGGTCATCTAACTCAGCTGAGAAACTAACAGACTGCCCCAAGAATTATATAAACCACTACTGAAGTACCTTTGATCTACCTAAATTATCGGCTTGTTTTGTTACCAAGTTTTTTCTTCACCAGATGATAACTTTTCACACTTCACGTTTAAGCAATTTGAAAATTCATTCCAGAACAACCCAAGAAAGGCATACTGCATGTGAAAAGGGTAATGAAGCACATTCTGCTGTATAGTGCAAAACAAAGCTACACATGCCATACATACAGAGGGGTGACACTGAATGACCATCTTTCTATTTAGAAGAGTATGTGCAATCTCCATGTGAAAACTGCACGTTACCTTTTAGTGTTTTGGAAAGATTTGGCCTTGTTCGTTCTTCAATTGAAGCTACCGTCTGCAACAACAAAATAAAGTCAAAACATTCCCTTTTAAACTCTGACAAGTAAATTTAAACAAAATAAGATTATTAAGCAAAATTAAACACGTTCAGATTACCTGTAAATAAAGTGTTTTATTCCTCCCATAGATGGTTGCTGTGATTGCAGGAGATTTCATTTGCCTATATATATAAAACATTAAAAAAAAGGACAATTAGATAAAAACGCAAGTAGAAAATACATCTTTGAAACTATAAAGTACCTAAAAACATCAAGTAAGTCAGAATAGTTGCACACTTACAATGAAGCATTATTTGTCAAGTAATCCAAGATCTCCTGTAATTTCGCTGATGGAGAAATCTCAATGTTTTGGGGAAGTTGGCTGCAGGCCGGACAGTTCTCCTACAACAAAGCAGCACAGGAGACCAGGTTATGTCTTTCAAAACAATTGTCGTAACCTTTTTTTTTTTTGAGAAGATTTGCTTCCAAATGTTCTTAAGATTTTGTTTTACGCTGTAAACTGTGTTTACTGTATAACAGGTGAAATCTTCACAATTCACTTTCAAGTCAAACTACTGTTTTCCTCCACAGGTAGCATAACCATTCAGAACCCAGGGTTGCACCAGCACGCACCACAGAAGTAGCTGTCTGGAGAACGTGCCTATATCAGAAGCTACTTTTCCAAATATTAAGAATTTTGGGCTAAATGGGCAAAAATTAAATATGCCACTATGCATACTATGCAATAGTTTTTGCTAAACTGATTTGTAGACAAAAACATTTCACTGTCAGTATGTCAAACAACACATCTGTTGATCTAGAATTAAATAGTCCTGCTGTCCTACTCTATGTGGACAAACCACCACCCCAAAACTACATAAGTTTAAAAAAAAAACAAATCCTACGTGCTAAAAGTAATACTCTGAAAGAGAACCAGACTAGTAACGTTGTAATTTCTGCTTTTAAAACTTCAGAAACTTCAATAAAAATCAAGAAAATAACCCTGTAAGCCTTTAATAACACTAACCTTTCTTTCAGCTTCAAATGTGTAAGTGTATAATCCATCCACATCATTGAACACCAAGTAATTGTTAAGAGGAATGTACGCACTATAATGGCAAACACATTTAGTGTTAATATATGTCCTTATCTTGGAAATCATGCACATTATTAATAAGAAATAAGGTACCTTGTGGCTATTTTAAAAACTTCAGTGGCACAAACAGCTGTAATGACAAAAAAGAACAAAAAACAATTCCTTTGCTTTCTAGCTCCATCTCAGAACACACAGATATTAAGTGTGCAAAATTGTATCAAAGTGACCAAAAAAAAAAAACAACAGGAAAAATTAAACACCTAAAGGTACCTAGAAGTAGTTCATCATAGATTTGGCACTAATCTAAAACCATGTTAAGCTTATATATCGTGTTTTGCAGTTATTGTTTTCCCCACTCTCATATGCTTTTGCTCACTCCCCATCATACATGAGTTTTACATTCATAGAGAGTCACACGCAGTTTCTCCACGGGAAAAAAAAAACAAAAAAAAACTGTAAGAATAAATTTAACCCATTTAAAAATTAATATTGTCCTCCTCAAATTCTCTATTCCAAATTGATACCTCACAAAAATCCAAAGTCAATGAAGCAGAGGTGAAATGAGTAAGAAATAATATCCCGTTTCCTTCAACATACCTGCAATTACTGCATTTGTAGAAGCTACTGCTGGAATAATTCGTTTAACAACCCCTGTAAAAACAAAACATACATCTTACTCTTTTCCAAAAAAACATACTGAAACATTATTTTTAGCTAGAATAATTACAGAAGGTAACCAGAGGTACTTTAAGCACTTTCTAGAATTTCTGTAATAATAAGGTATAGTGGCTCGCTGCTCAAGTACATTGGCATTTTTGTATTTTAGGAATGGATAAAACATGTTGAAGAAAAGAAGGTATCACACAAAGAGAACTAGTGAACACATTCTAAACATTTAAATTATTTTTAATATTAATTTAAAATTCAGTTCTATTATAATTAGTTGGGGAAATAAATAAAGGAAAGAAACTTGGTTTTGGTATTCCTTGTGCAAGTAGAGGCTTGCCAAACTGTATCAGCACTTTCATCCAAGTCTTCTTACTGAGCACATCCAGTCAAACAGTACAGAACACAGACCGATAGAAAGCAAGCTTTCCTATGCATACAAGCTGATACATCTGAAACAGAAGTTCACTTTTTTTCAGGATGGCCAAGAAGACAACAAATTCCTAAGAAGTTTGAAGTTCTTTTGGCTTCTCAGTTTAGACTTACTATGTCCCTTCATACCTGAGAAAACATACGTAAAAACTTCAATCTTTGCCTTCTTTCTGCTCTGTACTTTATACTGAAGCTATTTTCAAATGCTGAAAGCTGTGCAGCTATTCCCATGTATGTAATTATATTTCAGAACGGGGGTTCACACTTATCTTTGCCAAAAACCTACTACTTAATAAACCAATATAAGCTACTGCAAGAAAAAGTATCTGCAATACAGTAGGTGGAATCTGAGAAAGATACTCAAGGAGTCAGTTCACCCTTCTAGGACAGAAGGGCATGCTGAGGTTCAAGTGTGGCACTTTGAGCCCAGCATTTCAAATCCATTCTCTGTACTAACCGTCAACAAAGATATACAAGTTACTACAAATTCTGGAGATCCTGTATGAGATTCTCCACTTTTCTATTTAGTTAAGAAGCTGATTACATGAGCTGCAGCCTTCTGCACTTGCATGTGAACAGAGGCATACACATCATTAAAGAACAGATGACACAGTTTTAAGCAGCATAAACTGTTGCTAAAAGAGGCAATCACGTTCTTTTGTTCCTACTTTTTGACACAGCAGAAGTGGTCACAGTGTAATGCAAACCATGGAGCTGCTCCAGGTTAAAAATAAAATGGCAAAAAGAATGTTCAGTTTTGTCCCAGATAAGTTCCTCTGATTCATCATGAATACCTAAACATCTGATTCATCATAAAATATTTGTGCTGGCACAGGAAACATGCTGCTTATTTTTGTTTTAAGACGGTAAGGGAAATGAGAACTATTTCTTTCCCATCAGAGCTGCCAGCTTAGTCACAATAAACACAGAGAATGCCAATCCAGGCTAATTGCAACCACCACGAACTCAACAAAATGCCATACACTTACCTTGGGTGAGTCTGTAGGTAACACCTTTAATATTAAATTGTGATGCTCTTTCTAAAGACTTCTGGTAAATCCACTGTATATGTTCAGGGTCATCTCCATCCAAAGCAACACCTTCTACAGTAATTTACAAACCAGTTACAGTTGTAAGACCTCTTCAGAAATACAGCATTATTTTGACCTAAAAACATTCTCTTTATTTGTGGAAAAATCAGTACCTCACTTAAATATTAAAACCTTACACTTTGAAACTTTAAATATCAAAATATAGTTTCTAAAACTATCAGTTCTAACATTTTATATCTTTCACCATCTCAGAGGAGGCTCAGTTTCAATAGGACAAAAGCGTCACATATGATTAGAAGGTTGGATTGTAGGTGTGTACGCCTAGCTCAAAACAAATTAGTTATAATGATAAATATTACTTTAGCACCGATGCAATGTAATAATTACCTCCAAAAGGTTGCTCCTTTGGCCACTGCAATATCCTGACATACTCAATACAATGCTCTGGTAGTCTGGGCATAGATGCAATAGTACACATGGGGAAATTGACCTGAGTGGTTGGGGACAAGGAGAAAGACAGGAAAAAGGATTGAATACATTATGTATAGTGCTGGGAAAAGAAACAAGCAAGCCAGAAAGAGGAATATAAACAAAATGGAAACATCAATGGAAATTACCTGTGGTGGATAAAGTTCAAGTGTGCATTCAACACACGCTGTCATACCAGGAATAATCACACGAGCATTTCCTTTGAAACCTTCTGTCCCTCCGTCTATTAAAGGTATGATGGAACTTGGATCCAGTACACCATTTTCATAATGTAAAAATGACATCTAACAAATAAAAGTGTTTGTTTTTACAAGCTGTTGGAAAAAAAATCCTAAAGATCTTATTCTTAATGGTTTACTATAAAACTGAATAGTTAAAGTACTGGCTATTTTAAGGGTCCACAGCTTATAAAACACTGCTTATTAGTCAGTGTACAAGACTATCTACCATCTTCAACCCCCCCACACACACACAATAAATGCTCTTACTTCCATATAGCAAACCATAATTATTTTTTTAAACAAATTCTCAATGATGAAAGAACTTAGTTCAATCACCAGTCTTCTATTACTTTGTAGCAGCGGGGCTCCAAAAGACAACATTTACAAGTTTCAGAAATGCAAGTACTGCTTAGCTAAGGAACAAAACATTCACAATGAGAGCATTCAGAGAAGCTGTGGAACTTGCATTCTTATGACTTTCAAAACCTGACTGACTGCACAGGACACCAAGCAACATACCCTAACTTTGAAATTACCACTGCAGGGCACTGCACAAACATTGACTAACACTCCTCAAGAAAAAGGCACATGAGAGAGCATGCACCCGATCCTTTTCACAATAACGATAAAGTAGAAATAGGTACAGAAGGCCGTGAGTTTCAACAGCCCTTATTTCATTTTAATGCACAAAGCTGATCAATTTTAGTAATATATACTCAAGCAATAACCAGGCTTTAATTTAAAAAGATTGAATACTTTACCAGCATGCCATTTATCCATCTTCTTGCAATTATAGAGTCCAGCCCACAAACAATAATATGAAACTCTGGGGGGGGTGGGGGGAGGAGAGAAAAGTGTTATTTGAATATACTAATGCATACTTCTTAAAACAACCACTGTATTCTGTCCATAACTTTTCCATAAGAACTGACCATATAGTTCAACCATCTGCCCTAGGTCACATATAAGACAGACACATTTAGGTTTTGTCTATTTGTTAACTCTGTCACCAGTATACATTTAGTACATTAGAGAAGGCTAAAATAATCAGCAATCTAGCTAGCAGGAAAAGCAGCAAGCAGCAATAACTGTAGCTGTTTGGAATACAACCAAATACCACTTACGTCGATAAAAGCTTTCATCCATGTCTTGAATCTTTTTAAAATATCTGAACGTAAGCACAATAAAGGAATATACATATAATACAGTTGAGTTTACTGTCTTCCATTTGCTAACCTAAAGCCAAAACATTATATAATTTATCACAATAATTTCACAAGAGGCTTTCTTTTAAAACTAAGTGATTGGAAGATTCAAAATTTCCCACAAGCTCTAGCAACTGGTATAACAAGTAAGGGACACAATGTCATAGTCATACATAGCAGAAAGCTCAGCAGACAAAACCGTTTAGCAATAGAAAGGCTCTCACAGAGGACAGAGGCTCTCAGAGTTCTCTATGAGCAGTGCTGCTCTATGTGTATAAATTAATGTCTTACCAGTACATGCTCAAAGTTCTGGTGAATAAACTTGTAATTCTAACATTCCCATGAAAATTAGAATATGCAATTTGAATAAAAAGACTCAGTGGAAAAACACAAGATAGTTTCTTAAAACTTAGGCTTGATTTTTCATGCATATTTTCTCTATGCTAATGCCCCTCTACGAATTCACAACCATCAGCAGAATGTATGTGTTCTTTATTGTATGGAAAAAGAGGACTGCAGCAAAATATTTTGGATACTCTTACCACCTACAGAGTTTTCTAGGTTTTTTGAAGGCTATTACTTCACCATAAAAGGATACGGTACAACAGCACAGTTGGGGATGCGACTGTTCAGGAATTCTGCTGCAACTTCTGCTTTTGGTCGCCCAACATCCTTTGGTCTGGAAAAAAAGCGAAGTAATTTCAAATGCACCACTCTAATAACATTCAATCTTTTGAGGGTCTATGTCTTACAGATACCGAATTAAGTGACTAATTATTACTATAAGACTATTTACTGATATGGATTTACAGGACTATTAAGGCATTCCTGTAAAACATCTGATGTGAGAGCCCCAGAGTTATCTAAGTCCAGGAAAAAAAAAAAAAAGTTTTTCAATTTGCTTGGACGAAAAGGGTACTACAGAAATTGGTATCTCAATCCACATGCAATATACTTTGGTGTCACTTACTCCCTTTGTCATTAACTGTATCTGAATGGTAAGGAAGGTATGTTAATTTTCTTCACAACGAAACTGACACCACAGTTCTCAAAAAAAGAAGGAAACACACAATGTTTAGTTAATTGCAAGTACTATTGCAATGTGGAAGTTCAGAAAGCTTCAATGACATTTTGTTCAAACAAAATAACAAGCATATTTATATATAATGTTTAAGTACTTAAAAAACAAAACAAAAAAGTTAAATCATGAAAAAATCACTTACCGAAACAGAAACTGTCGATTAAGATTAGAAACATCTATAGTGTCCATGTCAATAACATGGATCTGTCTGAAACCAGACAGTGCCTGTGAAAAGAGAGTCAACTTTACTTAAGAGGAAGCAAAATGCTTACAGTGCTCCAAGATTCATTCCAAATGGCAAAGAGGCAACCTTTGAAGGAACAAACATATCAGTTCTTTGTTCCTTGTGCAGACAGGTGCATTGGCTTTCTTTGTGACAATGCTGGGTTGCTAATGCTGATATTTAGACAGGTGGAATTAGTAACATTTCAACAGTCAAAGATAATGTTCTACTGAATGTAATATTGTTTTACCCTACCTTATCATAACATACTTCCATCAATGGTAGGTTCATCTATAAGGGGAATTTGCAACATTCCCTCACAACTGGAGTAAATCCAGTGTATATCAGAAAAAAAAAAAAAAGTAGAATCTGAGGAAATACACTTAAAATCTTTTTGAAAGATGGGAACTGAGCATGCAGCAGATTTATGAAATCCCACAAATCCTTCCTCTCAATGAGTTATCAAGAGATTTAGTTTGTTATGTCCCAATAAACACAATACACTAGCCCAAAGCACAATTTAAATTCACCAGCACTAAATTTTCAAATAAAGAAAACTGCCTTGGAGTTGTCACAGTCTCTTCAAGTAACACCTTGCTTATGCAGAGCAGTAACAGAGCAGTAACCAGAACAAGATTATTCCCAAGTGCTAGAAGTCCCAAACCCCTACATTAATTGATTGGAATGCCTGATGAGGCTGTTGATTTATCAACCACCTCAAGCTTGGAGATAATCTGCGGAATGGTAAAATACCAGTACACAAATTCTGTAGCAAAGTGTACTAACATAAAAGTGCTGGTATAGATTAAAGAAAAACCGTATTTCATATTAAATTATTATATCAATACACACATTTTCCATGGAATCCATAAGGACAGTAATTATTATGGAATAGGAGCACAGAAAGGTACAGTATTAGGCTAAACTGCTGAACTCAAACAGGATGGTACAGTGATACACTATGATAAGTGAGCTTCTAAGGATAAAAACCACAGTAATAGGAAAATCAAACTCATGCATTTATTGGGTAAACATCTGACACCACACAATCTCGTAGCTGCATTTTAAATACTTGAAAATTGATTCATAGAGCACATAGTGAGAGTATCCATTATAAGCCAATGCTGTACCAAGTAAGCTATAGTACCTCTGTAGTGTATTTTCCCTGGTCTTATATTTCTATTTCTCCTTAGCAATTTCCATAATTTCCATACAGGACAGTGCATGTTGGTCTGATGCAATAAAGCTTTCATTACACAGACTGGATTCAGCAATAGAGATGCAGCTCTGGAGACAAGCTCAGGCTTATTGATCTTGAGGAACTGGAAAACCTGAGCACCAGTACTCAGCCACGCCAGATAGGTTCCAACGGCATGAAGGTCACCACAGACAGAGCAAGACTGGCTCTACAAGTTTCACTTTGAAAGAACATAATTCCAGCAATTCCAACCTCACTCTGAATTCATTCAAACATGTAAAGAGAACTGAAAATATATTGAGCTTTGACTACTAATACTACACTTCTTGCTAGCTCACTACATCATTTTAAAATATTATCTCGCATCTGAAAAGATACGTTTTAGTTACTGTATTCCAAACAACACGTCTTTTATATCCTTAAGATATGATTTGTTCTTAGTATAGTTAATTTCCCTTGATCTCATGAGGGAAAATTCCCAAAATTAGGCCTAATCTAAGGCTGCAAGTAAACCTTTGTCTATGCTTCGTAAACAGCACCATGCTGCTCCTCATGACAAGCTTTTAGATAACTAAAAAAAAAAAGGCCTATATTAGATTACAATCTTTCAAGCTCACTAGCAAAGTATTTGTCTCTGTAGTTGTGTATTTTATACCTATTTTGTTATATACAATTAAAATGTCATATTAGCAAAAAAGAAGGATAACTTCCTCAAGGAAAAAAGATTTTAATAAACAGAGGATGAAAACTGAGTAATTACCAGGTTTTTCAGGAGTTCGCATCCTAATCCTCCTGCTCCAATAACTAGTACTTTACATGTGCTTAACAAAAATTCAAGACCCTGTGGAAAATATAAAACAAAAGAAATTAATAGACTAAATAGGGAAAAGTATGATTTGACCTTTGTTTCATAAGTAGTACAACTGCGTTATCAAATATTTTCAGTGCTTAGTAAGCTTCACATAAAACAACTTGGATCAATAAAACACTTTGTGCTTGCAGGAGTAATTACATAGTGGACTTTAATCGGTTGTTGTGTTCATGTGATTCCTACATCCCAATTTACAGAAAAGCCAGCCCATTTTGATGTCCATATTCTCCTTGTATTAATTTGGTCATAAAAATGCAAGATCCACCTTTACTATTATTATTCAGTTTAAGCGCAAGGTTCAGTTTAAGGTTTTTCCTACAAAACGTTTGCTTACATATAATAAAAATAAATGTAAACAGACAGAAAACATTGCTGGCCAAGAATCAAGAGTTTTAACTAGATAACTGGTTTCTGTGAGCTGTTCAACTAGACCCTAAACTCGAACTAGTAACTAATGGAACATTAATATTACATTCACCTGCAAGCTCTTTCCCAATATTATTATTCTTTCCCAATTCTGCATGTATTCATACTAAGCCTAATTCCTTCTTTAAATATAATAAATGATTTACTGCATCTAATTATTTAAAAACAGAGACAAATGATGTTATTTTTCACATGGAACTCCAAGACAGCGTAACTCTTATGTTGTGCTATATATTATATGTATTTCTATGTATGACAGCAAGCTTGTAGTTGACAGTGTAAAATTTAGAAATAAAAGCCTATGAAAAGAATACGATACATTCTTTTAGAATCATACTGTTCTACTGATTCAAATACATGGTCTTCATGCAATTTTAGTATTTGTACACTGCTGGTGGTCAGTTAACGAAGCTGTTTACATTAGTTGCCAACACAAACTACAGATTTTTATTTAAAGTAAGTGTTTCTCACTTGAGTGCTTGGCTCGAAATCAGGATGTGTGAATGGTCCAGATCGCTCGAGGAACTTCTTTACATGGTTCCAGCGACCTTCCCAGTCTCCAGAGTCCCCACACCCACTATCAACAGCCATTCTGCACAGAACATAGTAAATTCAGTTGCAAAATCGTAGAGAAAAAGCCACACCTCTAAATGCACTTTTTTTCTTTGTATACGTTAAAAATACCTAAAATACTGACCATTCATGCAAATGTATCCGCATATCCATGTTCATCATATATGCATGGAATTTATGCGCATGGACACTTGCATGAGTGGGTTTTATTTGTGGAACTAGAAGGCAATAATATAAACGTGTAGAGAAAAAAAAAAAAAAAAAAAAAAAAACAGGCAGGCATTTCAATAAATCCCCGATTTAGCTGTTACTAGTAAAAGTTGACCTGAAGTGAGAAAAAAAAAAGGTGTACACTTCATGCCTTTATTTCCCCTGAGTTAACGAGGACACAAAAAAGGTTGTCCCTTTAGGTTTTGAGGGTGTTGTTTTTTCATCAGAGTCAAGTCTCATATTCTTTTATTTTTGAAATTTTTTAAGAAAGTTCACAAATCGTGAATTTATCAGTATGTTACTGCAACTGTGAGGCACTGAATAAGTAACAGTAACAAGGCGCAACATTGTCTCCACTGAGCCTCCATAGTAGTATAATTAAACTACTGTTAAAGAGTATGAATCTTGAATGATCTTCACCCTCAATTAGTACTACAGAATTTATAACAGCCCAATTTTCCAGCCACCTCCTTGTTTATAGTGACAATAGGACTTGAAAAAAAGTAAGTTTGCAGTTATTGTCTTCTTAATTATAGAGCCAGAATTTCACATGAAACACTCCATCACCCTTTTTCCCCTTTGCAGGTCACTTTTAATAGTACATAACTATAAAATTAAACTTTTAAAAAGACTTACTGAATAGTTCAAAATCAGCTCGCTTAAGTAATTTTCTAATGTAAGATCGCCTCCACTAAACAAACCTTTCTGTAGCACAGCACACTTCCCTTTTTTTAGCACAAGCTCCACTCATGAATCGTTCATGAATATGAATATGTTCTGTGTTAATACAAAACTAAGCTTGTTATACAGAGCTTTGAAAATCTTAACTAGGAAAGGTCGTGTCATCATTGATAAGAACCGTTATTTGCTATGAAAAAATACGAAGAATGCTTGTATCAATAATGGTTGTAGAGTAATGTTTAGGATTTATTACTTCCTTGTATCTCATCTCAAAATAAAATGAAAATGTAGTGACATCATCTAGAAAGTGAAACCCTTGGTCCTCACAGAATTCAGAAGATGGACAAAACAGTGTGTCTGTAGCAACTTTACCTTGCAGGTTTACATTTTGCAAAAGAGTCCCAATAACAAGGAAAAACTTCACTGAAGTGTAAGAATAAATACAACATAATCTGCCTATATTTTGGTTGCTAACTGAACTCATTTTGGTTTAACTTTTGGCTTTACATAAGTTAACTTACTGAATTAACAGTTAAATAAGTACTTTAAAAAAGTGATTTCATAGAGGACCTTTTGACATCTGACTTTCTACCTCCTCCAGTTTTCACAACTTACATCGAAAATAGTTTTAGGAAGCTGTGAATAAATGTAACACTTCTGCACTGAACCCTGGACTCATCTATTTTACACCAGCTTTCAGGATATGCACTAAACAATCACTTCTGCAAATAATACAGCATCAATGCAAAACACAGTAATTCCTTCTGTGGATTATATTGGTTTTGGTTTGTTCCAGAAACAATGCTTAGTGACACTATGGATTTTTTTTAAATCATTTAAGCAGCTGTACTTCTTTTCTGTTCAGACATGTATTTTCCTTTCTAGTGATATACCAGTCAGAAGGAGTTTCACTTTTGTGAATACACTAGTCTGATTTTTTACAGGGTTGGACATCGTGGAGATCTGAAAAACACTGCTGACACAACCCGAAATTTTGTTTAACTTCTGAGACTGATTTTTTTAAGGGTTTGTGTGTCATTACTGCACAACCAAGTATTGGCATTGTTAGATTTTAACCCAGTCCTTATCCATTTCACTGAATAATTTTAAATCTTAAGGTGTCAGAGCACACAGTCCTTAGGCTGCTTTAGGCCCAGCCTTTTTCCTGCCACCTTCACACACCCCATGCTTTTTTGGGGGGCTTGGCATGCACCCCCCAGCCCAACATGCCCAGGGCTGGCTGTGACCCTGGCACCACCACACGCATGCAGGGCCTGCGGGGCCGCCACTGGGGTCAGCTCTGCGACCTGTGGGAAGAGGGCCACAGGGAGACAGAAGGGAAGGGTTATGGGGTGGCAGCAGACGAGGTTAAAGATTTCTGCACATCAGCTTCCCGAGGCTGTTAAGAAGGACGCGTGGGATTTGAGGCTTTTTAAGAAGCAGAGGCAGGGAGAGGCGGGGGTGGGGGTTCCGCAGCCTGAATTTTTTTCACTCGCGGCCAAACTCCAGCCCGCTGCTCCTAGCCTAGCGGCCCTCCCCGGCCAGCAGCGCAGCTCCCCGGCTCCTGCCCCCAAGCCCCGCAGCCCCCCAGGCCTGCCCCCATGCCAAGCTGCGGGCCCCCAGCCCCCCGGTGCGGGTGAGCCCCTCGGGTCCCCTCCCGGGACCTTCCCTCTCCCCAGGCCTCGCCGTTCGAGCGCCCTGTCCCTTCCCCTGCCCCTACAGCCTGTCCTAAGACCCCTTTGCAGCTCCCCTCGCCCTCCCCTGCCGGCCGCCCCTCAGCAAGCGCTGCCTGCCCCTGTCCCTGTCCCTGTCCCTGCCCCTGCCCCGGGCCGGGCGCCCGCAGCCCCGCACTAACCCATCGGCCAGCAGCTCCTCTAGCCTCCTTCTTTTCTTCTCCCTAAAAGAGAGAGAATAAAAGAAGGGTCAGTATCGCGCTACACGCACCGGGGAGGAGGGAGAGGGGACCCCCAGGGCCCGCCCGTCCCCGGGAGGCGCGGGGAAGGGGGCGGCCGAGCGCGCACATACAGGGCACTTACGGTTCCTCACCATCCGCCATATTTCCCTCTCCTTCCCACACTGCCCCGCGCCCCGCCGCCATGGCGCCGCCTCTACGGGCGCTGCTCCGCCACAGCGGGACGCGGGGCTGAGGGGGGGACACACAGGGAGGTAGCCGCGGTTGTGTCCCTGCCAGGCGGCTCCCCGCTGATATGGTTTAAAGGATTTTTTTGTCCTCTTCCTCAGGAGGCAGCCTGGTTGTGTGCTCAGTCCTCACGCGCCGTGCAGCCATCACCATGAGGGATGGCTCCGTAGTTCACGGATGGGGAGGGATGGAGCGGGGCTCACAGGGATGGCAGCTCTGGCCTCGGGGTCCTGAATCCAATTTCTGAAAAGACAAACGGTCTAAATGGAGATTTCAGAGGCTGTCACAGACCTCGGGTGTTACGGTCACACCTGGCTCATTGCTGGTCTCACATCTGGAGCAGGACTTCCCTGCCCAGCACACCCAGCGTCCTTCTACAGGCTGTAAAACCAAACATTTCCCTACAAATTAGTGCAGGCGCAATCACCACGGCTGCCGCCACCAGCAACCCCTCCGTGTGTGTGATTCAGGGCACAACCACAGCGTTTCACCTCACAAACAAAGAACCCAGCGCACAGCAGGGGCGGGCAGCGCCCTGACAGCCGCACTCCTCGAGGAGCCGCGGCTGAGGGGGCTCCTCCCCGGGCCTCGCTGCCTCCTCCCCGGCTCCTTCCCGAACCGGGGCCGGGCAGAACCGGGCGGTGCGGGGCCGGCCGAGCTCCCCCCGTGGTCCCGGAGCCGCCCCGGGGCGGTGCCGCGGCTCCCTCAGGCCTGCGCGGCGGCGGCGGCGGCCATGGAGGTGCAGGTGGCGCCGCTGCGGGCTTGGGACGATTTCTTCCCCGGCTCGGACCGCTTCGCCCGGCCCGACTTCAAGGACATCTCGAAATGGAACAACCGCGTGGTCAGCAACCTGCTCTACTACCAGACCAACTACCTGATGGTGGCCGCCGCCGTCGTCGCCATCGTGGGGTCGGTGCCTGGGCGGGGACCGGGGGTCGGGGATGGGGGGACCGGGGGGGTCGCTGAGCCCCGGGACAGCCCCCACGGGTTGGGTGAGGCGCTGGGTTTGATTTGGGTTTGCGATTTATTTTTTTTAACTCTTCCTGGGGCTGTGTAGCGGCTCGGGGAGCTCCTTTTTATTCCCCAATCCGCAGGCGGCTCAGCACCTCCTGCAGGAGCGCCCGGCTGCTTGTGGGGTGGCGGGGAGCAGCTGTGGGGTGACAGGGAGCAGCCCTGGTGGTGCTGGATGTCAGCGGGGCCTCCGCAGTGACCAGCACTGCCTGGCTAAGCCTGCCCAGTGCTGCTGTAGAGATAAACTTGGCTTTGAATTAACAAGAAAAAAAACGGATGAATTCTGCTTCCCATATAGTTTTAAGCTCATGTCCAGCAGGCAGAACAGCCACTCTTATTTCTGAGCTAGTGCATAAAAAAAAACCTGATAAAGATAATAAAGATAAGCAGGATGCCCGTATGTTTCATTTTGGGGCGAGACTGAGACCTTCAAGGCAGGACCCTGTTCGTGTCAGCATCCCTACGGGGAGTTGGGAAATAACCTCCTAATCACCCCCTGAGTATAGGCCTGTGACTGCTGGCTGAGTATTGCTTCGAGACCAGAAAGCTCTTCATCACGAGTTGCAGCAGTTGCAGCAGAGGCTGTGATGATTAAGCTTTTAATATAGAAACTGGAATACATTTCCAGCACTCCCCGACAAACAACGCTCAAATGCTTAAATTGGAGGGTTGCCTGGCCACTAGGCCGAAGTGGTTTTGGCAGAAGTATATCTTATCTTATATATTGCAGAGGCTTAAATTCCTCCCCTAAATCCCTTCTTGTTCTGCATCTGAAGCTCTTGACCCAGCATCTGAGTCAGTGAAAAGTCTCCAGGTTCCAGGGAGTGTGGGCCTGTGACAGGAGGGGCTGAGAACCCTACTTCTTTTTTTGTGTGTAACAGCTTGGCATAGTGCTGTAGACTTTCTTCTTAATTTCGGTGGTGATATGTTGCAGTCAACTCAGTGGATTATTAGACAAGGTAAAAAGAGCCTTGCAGACTCTTGCCCACCTCAGACTAATCTTCAGTGTTCATCTGCCCGTGTTTACCAGTGCAGTGCTGTGGCCAATTAGATAGATCAAAGGAGCTGTGGAAGGCAGGGGGACAACTCTTCTCCCCAAGAAAGTAGGGAAAAAAAACTGTAAATAGCTTCTTTATCCCTGGCCACAGGGCTAGAACAGCAGCAACTTTACTCCATCTCCTAAATTCCTTTCTCCTTTTGCACTCTGATCCCTTCTTATCAGATCAAGGATGGTGATATATCTCCCACTTACTTCCTACCGGTTTGCTGGGGCTGGGGGAGGAGGATGAATGGAGCCGCACAAGGTAGAGATTAACACCAGAACTGCAATTTTAATATCTTCATATCGAGCAGTGACGTGCTGAGCTGAAATCTGTGGACAAGAAACACCTGGAATGATTTTTATTTTTTTTAATTGTGCATCTTAGAGCCTTTAGTATATGGCAAAACTGATTCTTCTAACACTGAAGTATAAGGACAGGAGACTAATTCTAACGGGAACAGGCTAACCCTTCAGTAAAGGAAAGCTACCTGTTCCTTTTTAATAAAAGATTTTTCACTTGGCGAGACTGTAGCTTTGGGAGAAAGGCAAAGAAAGTTCTCCTGATTAAATTTACATTGATGACTAAGCTGTGGCCTTGCACTTCATTCTGTAATGGGCAGGAATTCCTGAGCTTATCATGGCTTTTTAGGAACTCCAGGACTGTGCCTAGGGGCAGGATTACTGAAAGTGCTCATGCAGTGGTCTTTGTGATCACAACTGAACTTATCCCTGACCAACTCTACCTGTTTTTAAGCCATCTCATGGCACAGACAGGCAGGTGATACAATATTTTTGGCTGCTGTAGTAGCTTGGTAGCTGTGGTAATGCTGGACTGAGATGGAAGTTGTAGCCTAGGGCTTTTTTGATAGCACAAGTGCAGAGTTTATTGCCATGGCTTAATTTACAGCCTCCTGTACAACAACATTGACCTCTGCAACCTTTGGCTATCTCCATCTCTCTGCAAGGTATGGAATAACCTTACCATGAATGCAATGCAATCGTAATGATCTCTGCTGCATCATTGCCCTGCCTCTTCCCCTCCCTTTGCCTTCCGATGGCTACTGTTACATGTAAATGATGTTCTGTGCTTTGCAGCTAAATTTTGCTTTCAAGCCCCAGCAGAAAACTATTATTTCTGCTTATTCTAGGCAGAAACTATTAAATCTGTGAACAAGAAACCGAAAGTATTGAATGACTGCCACTCTATGCGTACAGGCTGGTGGCAGCAACAGTTCCTCTTCCCCTTACTCCTTGCCCTGCAAACTCCTCTGTGAGTCAATGCAGGCTAGCGTGCTCTTTTTTATTTCTTTCCTGGAACTCTGCTGCTGCTAAAAACCAAGATCATTGCTAAATCAAACTGTGTCCCTCCCCGAGTTGCATAGGACCTGGATGATGACTGCCCTTTTTGCTCTGAGCCAGGGCCCTGTTACTGTGAGAGCTGCACAGATATTTATTAAGAGCCGTGCCTCCCACAGCAGCCTGCAGCTCTCCCCCAAACAATCCTCCTGCCCAGTAAGTGCCATTTGTCCGGGCTTTCAGCTACTCTGACAAGGCTTCTCTGTCTTGCTGTTCAAACTAACTACTTAAATCAAGGTTGTTTCTTGTAGGCTTTTGTTGCCTTGTACTTACCATAAACTAGTGTCTAAGTGATAGTATTAAGAAGTGCAATGCATTTCAGAGTGCTACAACTAAGAGTCTTCATTGTCTTTTGGCATAATTCTTTCCCCACAGCTTGAAGTTCGATGGAGCTTTCCTTTGCCCACTTATCTCTACCGCATCTACTGGCCATCTGTACAACCCCTAGCAATGAATGAGCGTGGGTGTTTTTTTTTTTTTAATTTCATTCCACCCCAGACCACAGCCTTAGCTGGCCTGGGGGTAATTCCCTCACCAGAGCAGCCTCCAGAGCAGCAGAGTGCTTAGTGTCTAATGCCTGACGAAAGATTAAGAACAGTGCACAACACACACAGCTCTAAAACATACGTTGCATAATACTACTACACAATTTCATAGAGATTGTGCAGAAAGGGCTCCACTCCTGTTCTGAAAGCAACATAAGTGAGAAGCAGTGAGTACAGAAGCATTGCTAAACCCGTGCCTGCTGCGGGCTCTCACCTGGCAGTGACCAGACGTGTTAGTGCCACGTCAGAGGACAGCACTCTGTTTGTCCTTGTAGGTGTTACCTCTCCTTGCAGCTATGTGACCTCACTGCAGCCCAAAATATGGGGAGAGGGGAAGGAAGCAGAACCTGCTGTCTCTTGTAGTGTCGTTTGAATGAGCACAAACGAGGAAGGAAGCAGATAACTGCGCTCACCTGTCCCTCGTGTGCAACATGGTGAGGCACGAGCCCTCCTAAAAGGGAATTTTCACATTTATGTGCTGTAGTGACCCAGCTGTGCTGCTCTGAGTAAAGAGACAGTTGTTCTCAGTGATCAGAAGCGTCCAGCTCTGTGCCTTTGCTCAGACGTGCCTACTCACGTGCAGAAGAAGCAGATGTGCCAGCAACTGCTGAATAATCACCCTGAGACAGCCATCTGAGGGGGAGGTGACTCAAGGAAGGAGCTTGCTTGCTTTCTCTTTATGTGGCCTGCCCTACTTCTGGGCTCGTGCTGCAGTGCTCAGAGGATGAGTCTTACCCTCTTTTTTTGCTACACTGGAGCTGTAAATTTTCCAAGGAGGTGGTCAGCTCTGCTGCTATGGGGCTGTGCAGCAGCCTGCAGGTGTGAAGTAACCCAGCAAGACCAGATAATGTAAGTCACTGAAGGCAGAGCTTCTTGGACTTTCTGCAGCTCTGTGGGAATCCAACCTGCTTTGTGACAGATGTAGCACAGAGTCTAGAAATATGAATGCAATTTAAAAAAAAAAAAAACCACTCATCTTAATCTATATTTTTTTTTGTTTTGTTGTTGCTCTGAGAAGTAGGTGTATAGTTACAGTACTTCCTCCCACACCATCGCAGCCCCAGCTGGTGGCACCTGTGCTGTCTCCTGATACCACTTGGACGAGCACGTGTCCCACGGCTGCACTTGGCACAGGGCAGCACCTGTGTCCCTGCCCCTGGGAGCAAACAGCAAGTTTCTTTTATTTATTCTTTTCTTTCCCCCCATCTTTGTACTTTGTATTGAGACAGATGTGGTGGCCTGCCTGGTCCCTGAAGGGCAAGAGGAACAGAACTTCAGGTACTTGGTGTTGCCTTGAGATGCTGCTGGTGGTAAATCTAGGTGACAGCTTTTCTTTGCTGGTTTGTCCCAGCGGTATCAGAGGCTGCAGCATCCTCCCAGGGCTGTATCTTGTCTACTGCAGAGAGCAGTACAGTAGAGCATCCCGTTAGGGTGCTCTGAGTTCTAGGCTGATTGCAGCCCCCAAATGTTCAGTCCTGCCATCTGACTCCTTTTAGGGCAATCAGAATGAGCTTTTTTTTTTTTTTTTCCCAAGCCCCAGAAGAGTTCATCTTCCCCAAGTCATCTGAGCAGCCCCAAATCAAGTTGCCACAACACTGACATGCTAACAGTTCCGTGCATTACATTTTC